GGTTCTGCCTGCCTGCCCCTCACCTGTGTGTAGTGGCCGCATCTGCCCCAGTCACCACCAATGCAGCCAGCAGGGAAGACAGCAGGCGGGCGCTTGTACCACTTGCCCTCGCCCACCCACCACTGCACTGCATCGCTGTTCGACGCCCACCCAGCCGGACCCGCCCCTGAGAGGTTCTGCCCCTCTCCCTCCCCCATGCCGCCATGCTCCAGCCCGCAGTTATAGTCGTCGCGGAGGGTGTCGGCCCACGCCTGGGCCCTCTCAGCCACTGGAGGTGGGGGGAGGGAGGGGAGGGAAGAAGAAGGGGAGCGAATGAGGGGGGTGTGTGTGGTGCGCCTGAGAGGTTCTGTTCTGCCCCTCACTCTCCCCCATGCCGCCATGCTCCAGCCCGCAGTTATAGTCGTCGCGGAGAGTGTCCGCCCACGCCTGGGCCCTCTCAGCCACTGGAGGTGAGGGGAGGGAAGAGGGAGGAGAGGGGGAAAGAAGGGGGGAAAGGGAGGTTAGAGGTTCTGCCCCTCGCCCTCCCCCATGCCACCATGCTCGGATAGTCGGGGTTGGGAAGAGCAGCAGGGGAGCACTTGTTGATGCCACTGGGTCAAGTAAAAGAGCACTCACCTGCGTCGTCCCACTCGAGGGGCACGGAACCAACAGCAGCCGTGGTGGCATTGTGTGCGTGGAGATAGTGGGAGTTGGGAAGAGCAGCAGGGGAGCAGCACTCGTTGCTTCTTTGGAGTCAACTAGTCAACTCATAAGTCCCTCGCCTGCGCCATCCCACACGAGAGGCACGGCACCAACAGCAGCCGTGGCAGCGTTGTGTGGGTCGAGACAGTCGGAGTTGGGAATATCATGAGGAGGAGCAGCACTTGCAGTTTTCCTCGAGTCAACTCAGTCAAATCAGTCAAATCAGTCAATACAGTCAATACAGTCAACTCTCAAGCCACTCACCTCCGTCATCCCACACAAGGGGCACGGCACCAACAGCAGCCCTGGCAGCGTTGTGTGGGTCGAGGTAGTCAAGGTGGGGATAGTCATCAGAGGAGCACCGGTTGTTTCCCTCCAGTCAACTCAGTCAACTCAGTCAATACAGTCAGTACAGTCAACTCTCAAGCCACCCACCTGCGTCGTCCCACTCGAGGGGAACGGCACCAACAGCAGCCCTGGCAGCGTTGTGTGGGTCGAGGTAGTCGGAGTTGGGATAATCATCAGAGGAGCACCGGTTGTTGATCAGACGCTTGAAGGGAGCCGGACATTTGCACACCACTGCACCGCCCTGCAACGCGCACTTGGACACGTGGGGGCACTTGACACCGTAGCATGGGTCTGGTGGGGGGAGGAGACAGACAGGGGAAGGAACGGGGGAAGAGGGCGCGGGTTGGTTGGACACTAGCAGATCATGCTACACTGTTGTGCAGTGCACACTTGAACGCGAGGTAACATGGGGGGGAGGGGAAAAGGCGAGACGCTTCTGCCATGGTCTTGATCGCTGGGATTTGTTGCAACCACCTGGCATTTTTGCAATCACCTGAAATTGTTGCAATCGCCTGAAAGCATTGCAAACACCCGAAAGCATTGAAATCACCTTTGCACGAGCACTTAGCGACGCCCGCGGAAGCAGCGCAAGTGCAGCCCTTGGAGCAGGAAACAAGAGAGCAGGGCCCACTGGCAGCAGCAGCAACAGCATTAGCGAATTACCTGGTACTGTTTCTATTACCTTTGCACGAGCACTTGGCTACGCCCGTGGAGGCAGCGCAGGTGCAGCCCTTGGGGCAGAAAACGAAGGAGCACGGCCCGCTGGCAGCAGCAGCAACAGCAGCAGCGGCTGCACAAACAGCTGCTGCACTAGCAGTACTAGCAACAGATGAGCTTGAGGCGTCTCAGAAATCATTGTTGCACTCACGCACCTTTGCACGAGCACTTGGCAACGCCCCCGGAAGCAGCGCAGGTGCAGCCCTTAGGGCAGGAAACAAAGGAGCACGGCCCGCTCGCAGCAGCAGCAGCGAATCGCGATAATGATTGCGTGGAAGCTGGCACGGAGGCGCTTCGATACCATCCGGGACCGCTGGCAGAAGCGGCTCGGGATGATGATCGCGTGGCGGGCTGAAAGGGTACGGCAGCGCGGTTCCGATACCATCCGGGACCGCTCGCAGTCGAAGCGCGAGATTGCGTCGAGGCGTGGTTCCTGCGACTGTGACGGCCGTGTGCGGCGGCGACGGCGGCGGAGGCGGAGAGGAAGTGGTGGGAGAGGAGGGTCGCGTAGAGGAAGACGACGAGGAACGGGAGGAGGACGGATGATGACCCTGATCGCACTGAGTGTTTGATGCAAGCCATCGATGCCACTAGCATAGAAGCAACGGGTGTGATAGTGGAGAATAAAAGGTATTACAGATTTGAGAGGAGGAACGGCTCCCTGGTTGAAAGACCGAGGGAGGCAGGCAGACGGAGACAGAAGCGGGAAGGCCTCTTATCGTCTAACGAGGCTGCTATTATGGTGGACGGCTGGTGGATTGCTGGTGAACTACTGTTGAATGGCTGCGTTTATAACTGCATTTATAGCTGCGAGAACAGACGAGAGTTGGAATGCAAGGGCGGCTGCTGTTTGAACGAGCCGACCTGGACGAAGCCATGGCGAATGATACGAGCTTGTGAGCTTCCCGCGGACGACGAAGCCAGGTCGCGCGTTTCGGACCTAGGCCTTAGAGGGGACTAACGACAACAGAATTTGCGATTCCCCAAGTCACACAGATTGCGGGTGAACGGAAGAAGCTCGAATGGCTGTCGGACTCAAATGGCTCGCGTCGGTGGTGGGTTGAACAGAAAACTCGGGGGACTAGGGTTGAATGCAAGGAAAACTGTTTCTTCCTACTGGAGGGCGTGTTGCTGTGTGGCGCGCGGGACTCCCTAGGGTATTCTGTTTGACGCGCGGGACTCCCCAGCGCATGCTCTGTGCCGCGCGGGACTCTCCAGGGCGATGTTCGGCAGCCACAGGGCGATGTTCGGCAGCCACAGGGCGATGTTCGGCAGCCCAAGGGATCCAGCGAGGGATGAGTCGAGGCATCGAAAATCGACAGCCTCGCCCCTAGTTGTGACAGGTCAACTTGGGGTCAACCACAGTTGACGCCAAGTTCGAGGTCCTTACGCAAGCGGAAGGACTCGGCGGTAATTGCGGAGATCCAGGGTGGTAGGGGGAGGGCAACGGAAGCAGACGCCCTGCAAACGCGAGCCTTCGCGACGTGAACAGTTCCCGCGAGGGTTTGTTTGTCAGCCTCACCCTAAATTGCGAAAATACCCTGGATATTTCTGTTGATAAGTTAACACTTTATTAGTTCGCGTTTAATGTACAATTGCTAAAGTTCAACACTTAAACAAGTAAACCTCACCCGAATTTCATTTCATGTATTTTTCGATAATCATCTGTTAAGGTTAAAGGAAAAAAGGCTAGTAACTCTATTAAAGTGCATGGGTGTTTAAAAAAACATACCCATCGTCTGGGGCATGGAATTCTGATTCCCCGTGGGGTTGTCCACCTCACGGGAATCCACTTTCCATCCCTCGACACTGGGGCGGAAAGTTTCCGCCAAGTGGGGGGGGTTCATGGGGAGGATGCGGCGCGGTCACAGGTCTAGGTTGGGGTTCGCGTCGCGTTTTTGGCCCACGTCCGGCATGTTTTTCGCTTTTTCATCTACTGACCGTAGTGTTTTGCCTGGTTCGTCAAGGTCGAACCAGGAGGCCCGACGTTTTCATCCTCCGTCCCATGCCCTCCCGTCGATCCCCTGTGGCTGCCGAACATCGCCCAGGGGATCGACGGGAGGGCATGGGACGGAGGATGAAAACGTCGGGCCTCCTGGTTCGACCTTGACGAACCAGGCAAAACACTACGGTCAGTAGATGAAAAAGCGAAAAACATGCCGGACGTGGGCCAAAAACGCGACGCGAACCCCAACCTAGACCTGTGACCGCGCCGCATCCTCCCCATGAACCCCCCCCACTTGGCGGAAACTTTCCGCCCCAGTGTCGAGGGATGGAAAGTGGATTCCCGTGAGGTGGACAACCCCACGGGGAATCAGAATTCCATGCCCCAGACGATGGGTATGTTTTTTTAAACACCCATGCACTTTAATAGAGTTACTAGCCTTTTTTCCTTTAACCTTAACAGATGATTATCGAAAAATACATGAAATGAAATTCGGGTGAGGTTTACTTGTTTAAGTGTTGAACTTTAGCAATTGTACATTAAACGCGAACTAATAAAGTGTTAACTTATCAACAGAAATATCCAGGGTATTTTTGCAATTTAGGGTGAGGCTGACAAACAAACCCTCGCGGGAACTGTTCACGTCGCGAAGGCTCGCGTTTGCAGGGCGTCTGCTTCCGTTGCCCTCCCCCTACCACCCTGGATCTCCGCAATTACCGCCGAGTCCTTCCGCTTGCGCAAGGACCTCGAACTTGGCGTCAACTGTGGTTGACCCCAAGTTGACCTGTCACAACTAGGGGCGAGGCTGTCGATTTTCGATGCCTCGACTCATCCCTCGCTGGATCCCTTGGGCTGCCGAACATCGCCCAGAGCATGTTCTGTGACGCGCGCGGCTCCACTCCGTCTGGTCACGCATCCCTCCCCAAAATTGAAGCTTGGCGTTCAGCCACGGGATCCCCGTTTGCGTCAGCGACGAGTCAGAAAGTGTAACCAGGAGTTTCAACATCGTTGCTATGTATCTTACGTTGTTCATTTATGGCCATTGATCTGAACTTGCTAAGATGGTGAAGATACTTTCTCACCTCTTGCTTCAATTAGTTCTCAATTGTTCAAACACATGATGCTTCATGCCATGAGCATAAGATATTGCACGAATATTCAGACAAAACCAAACCATATACCATCGTACAATCATATAGACACGCACACATGCAATAGGATAGACCATAATAACCATGCTACGAGAAAACTAAATATTTACATACACTACTGTATGTGTGCTCCGTAACAGGGCCAAAATTTTGATCCATCACTTCAGGGACTCTCCTTGCGACTTGAGTGCCTGAGGAAGGACATCCTTGGGCAACTTAGATTCACCAACAGCTGCACTGAACGCAGATGCAGCTGCAGAGGCTGATGTTGCCTTGGCAGGAGATGATGCTGATGTGGAGGATGAGGTTTTCGCCACCAGGCCTTCAAAGTACACGTCAGCAGGGGAGGGCAGAGGTGCGTAGCCCGGGCGGTTGGGCGAGCGCACGACAGAGTCGAGCTGCTGGCAGGCAGACATTGTCTTCACATGCTCCATCTCATCGTCCTGATGTGAAGATGAGGCGGGGGAGGGAGGAGATGAACACAATTTAGAGCAAGGTAACAGTGGAAGGCAGACATTGTCTTGACATGCTTCATCTCATCGTCCTGATGTGATGAGGAGGAGGGTGCGAGGGTTGAGGGGGAAAGGATTTGAACAGGACAGCTGAGAATGGGCGAAAGAGAGTGAAAGCTGAGAAACAGAATATTGATGGGAAGGGTGATACGGAGAAACTTTGGAAGGTACTTGAAGAAACGTAAGAGTAATAAAATAAGCAATGCATATCAGCAATAAAGGATCCTGAATTCAAAGTTGAGCAGTGTTTGCTCACCCTGATGGCACAGAAGACATCGTACAGGCTCTCGATATTGGGCCGCCGGGACTCAGGAACTCGAGACGTTTGAAATTCATCGAACCTGGACAAACAAGGACGGGAGGGGGCGGCATTGTTGGAGATGTAAAAACTACGAGATAAGACTTAGGAGAACACTTCACATGCATATCATCAGCTTAACTCACATGCAAGCACACACACACATGACATTCCCCCTTATCTTCCCTGGCCATCGCTATTGTACTAGGCAATAGCTGCCGAGGACAGCGGCAGAATCTCAAGCATCTAAGCGGTTCTCATCCACAAACTCCCAACACGTATCCACCTCATGCGGCTCTACCAGCTCACTACTAACGGCACATACATCTGCCCTCCCTCTCAACTCAACTCCCCTCACATGCAAACTGCAAGCACACACACTGACGTGTTCCCCGCTCCCCCTTACCCCACCTTCCCAACCCCCCTGACTCACTGGTAAAGTTTGTCAAATGTCCGTGATAGCTGCCGGGGACGGTGGCAGCGTTTTGAGCAGCTCCGCATTCTCATCCACAAACTCGCCATAAGTGTCCACCGCATGAGCCTCTACCAGCTCCACTTGCTTCTGAACCACCCACATTGAAACCCCCCCCCCCCCCCCTCCCCCCCCTTTGCACTCACATGTACAGGTCATCACTGTTGTAGTAAGCGATTGCAGCTGGAGAGGGTGGGAGAGCTTTCAGCAGCTCTGCATTCTCGTCCACAAACTCCCCGTAAGTATCCACCGCATGCGCCTCCATCAGCTCACCACAGATCCACAAGTCTCAAGCCACTCACATGTACAGGTCGTCGCTGTTGTAGTAAGCAATAGCTGCTGGGGACGGCGGCAACGTTTTCAGCAGTTCCGCATTCTCATCCACAAACTCGCCATACGTGTCCACCGCATGCGCCTCGATCAGCTCCGAGAAGTTGTACGCGGTGCGCGGGGAGATTAAGAACATGAAGTTTAGGACCCAATAGTAGAGGATGGCGGCGTGCTGCGCAAAGAAGCGGTCGATCCAGAGCCGGTCGCCGCCGAGAGACTCCATGATCTTGAGGTGGTTCATCTCGTTCCACTCCTCCGCAAAATGCACCTTCCGAACCTCGGCTCCGACCCTCCACCTGAGGTTTAGCGTGGGACAGACAATGGCAAGCAGGGGGTTGAAGTTCAGGATTGAATTAGAAGAAACAGGGCAAGGAGGCAAAGAAGCGGTCGATCCAGAGCCGGTCGCCGCCGAGGGATTCCATGATCTTGAGGTGGTTCATCTCGTTCCACTCCTCCGCGAAATGCACCTTCCGAACCTCCATGCCGAACCTCCACCTGAGGTTTGGAGCAGACGGGGGAGTACAGGGTAAGGAAGTGGAGAAGCATGCTCGTGAGAAGACAGCGTTGATGACCAGACTTTCTGATTGGAATGAATAGGTCATGAGCCCAAGTTTATAGATAACATTGCTCAAAATTGCCACTGATATTTCAGCAACGTACCATCCGAGGGTCTCGTAGAGGTGAAGCATAGAGATGTAGCTGCAGGGGTGGGAGGGAGGGACAGGGGGGCAAGAGAGAATGGGGATCAGAAGATTACAAAAGGAAATGGGGGAACAAGCATGGCTGAAACTCTTGACAAGCAAAGCATGTGCACGACAAGCGCATGGCATGATCATGGGGGCGAACGATGGGTCATGAACGATGATACACGAATGATGGTCCACATAGTTGACAGGGCACTCACGAGAAGTAGGGCATGCGTGCCACCGTCTCGAGGAACCAGAACCGTTGGATGGGGCGGTTGTAAAAGATCACATCAAGCATCTGACGGATGGGATGGCATGGCATGGGACGGGATGAATTGAGAAAAGGACAAGTGGAAGTGACTTTTCATTGGCCTGAGATAACATTAGCCTTTTTATCGTTTGTTTTTTTTTTGCCTTCAGGAGCTACCCTGGAGTTTTGTCTGGCAAAGCGAACATTCCCATCGACCCAACTCAACCCAGCTGCACTCAGCTCAACGCAGCGGCACTCGCACTCACCCAGCACAGCAGCTTGTACGGCAGCAGGATCCACCCAGGCGCCTCCACCTGAGGCCACGAGGCACTGCTAGGTGCGCTCACAGCCAAGCACGTACCATCACCGCACTCAACTCATGCATACCCAGGGTCAACCCAACTCACCCAGCACAGCAGCTTGTAGGGAAGCAGGATCCACCCAGGCGCCCCCACCTGGGGCCGCTCCTCCTCCCTCTCTAAAGCCTCGCACCTTGCATTGTCCATCACGTACCAACTAGCAGCACCCAACTGCACCTAACTGCACCGAGTCACACGTCACTCACCCAGCACAGGAGCTTGTAGGGAAGCAGGATCCACCCAGGCGCCTCCACCTGGGGCCGGTCCTCCTCCCGCTTAGCCACCGCCTCGTTGCTCAGCGTCAGCTGCTGCAGCTTTTGCCTCAGCGCCTCACTCTCCTCGGGCATCTGCTTTGGTACAGCAGGAACGAGTGAAGGGGCGAAGGGAAGGAACGTGAGTAACTTGTGAGAGCGCCCTGAATGACGTTACGTTGCTCAGCGTCAGCTGCTGCAGCTTTTGCCTCAGCGCCTCACTCTCCTCGGGCATCTGTTTTGGTACAGCAGGAACGAGTGAAGGGGCGAAGGGAAGGAACGTGAGTAACTTGTGAGAGCGCCCTGAATGACGTTACGTTGCTCAGCGTCAGCTGCTGCAGCTTTTGCCGCAGTGCCTCACTCTCCTCGGGCATCTGTTTGGGTACAGCAGGAACTAGTAAAGGAGCGAAGGGAAGGAACGTGAGTAACTTGTGAGAGCACCCTGAAGGGCTTGAGCTTCGAGACGAGGAAGCAACGAGGAAGGAACTCGGAGCCAGAAGTAGATTCTAACGTGACATGCAAGCCACCCCTATACAAAGAAAGGAAGGCTTACAGCAAGAGGGGGCTTGATCTCTGGCAGACCATCGTAGAGCGTGAGGAGCTTGTCAAAGAACTTGAGCGTTGAGACGAGGAAACTACCAAGATACCCAGATATACCAAGCTTCAACGTGACTTATAACGATTCGTTGAGGCAGGAAAGCTTACGGCAGGGGGGGGCTTGATCTCGGGAAGACCGTCGTAGAGCGTGAGGAGCTTGTCAAAGAACTTGAGCGTTGAGACGAGGAAGCGACCCGCGTACGCGAGGGCAAGTTGCCTGCCATCTCTCTTGATGTTGTCGGCTGGGTGGGGGGAGACGGGAACGAAAGGGAAAAAACTGAGTCAACTTGAGCAAAACGCCATGCTTCAGTGCGGAGTAAAGGCTAGAGAGGGATTGGCCCTTTGTTAAAGATGTAACGAGCCACTCTATAGAGTGAGCCGAACAGTGAAGGAGCTGCAACTTACTTCGCACGTCGCTGAGCTCCTCGTAAAGAACGTTGCTACGAAGGGCCTGCACGTGCACGTGAATGGGAGAAAACATTAGAAACTCGCTAGCTGAAGAACGTTGCTGGCGAAAGGGCCTGAACGAGGGTGCAATGACGAAACGCGAAGAGCACGAGAGCGGCGAAGGCTTGCGTTGAGAAACATAGAATTGCGAAAGAACCGAAGGACGCAGGTACAGGCATGAAGTTTAAAATCAATTGGAAAAAACGGAGGTGTTTTCGTTGCGGCGTAACGTGTGGCACGCTGACACTTGGCATGCTGAGATGTGGAATAATGACGTGGCATGCTGACGTGCTTACCGCGTACTCGCGGCCGAAATTCTCGAACGCGAGCTTGAAGACGTTACCAGGGACGTTGGGGCCCGTGCGGAGAAACTTGGACTGGGACCGAGAGGCGGAGGGCGAGGGGGAACGAAGAGGGGTGGGGGGGAAGGACGAAAAGGTGTAAGTCACTTGCGTTACTCAAATACGTTTGAATTTGTTACCAGGGACGTTGGGGCCGTGCGGAAAAACTTGGACTGGGACCGAGAGGCAGGACGATGAGGGGCGGAGGGGAGGAAGACAACGTTCGATTCAATTGAACATTTTCATACGCGTCGAGGGGGTTGGGAGGGACGTTGGGACGCGCTGCAAAGAAACGTCGATTCCCATGGTGAGGTCGACGACGAGGGGAGATGGAGCGAAGGAAAGTCTTGGAGCAGACGAGTTGTCTGAGAGTCGGGCCTACCTTGGAATTCAGTGTGAAAAGTACCTGAAAGCCGTAGTCGTATGCGATCAGCTTTGGCTTGATTGAATTCGAGGACGCCGAGCCGTTGGAAGCAGCGAAATCTGCGGTTTGTTCTTGGTTCTCTTTCTCCGGAATATCCGGTTTAATGCTTCCGCTGGTGCTCGCCTCACACCTGTTAAGGATAGACAGCAGCAGATTTTGAAAATGAATGACGGTGGCAGGAGGAGGAGAAACCGGAACGAATGGGGAAAGCAGAAGACGTCGAAATAAGGAGAAACAGGTTGCGAGATTCTTATCACGAAATGCAAAAACGGAATGCGAAAACCGTACCTCCAGCGTTGAGAATTGCCGCTCTGTGTCGATCCACATCGCGCAAAAACGCGACGGGAAACGGAACCGCTGTTCGCCGTCAGCGCCTGGCGCGAGCCCCAGTAATGGCTCTTCAATGCTATGCGATTCCTGCGAATCACGCCTTTTGAGCGCGGTTCCACGCTTCTAGTAGACTGGCTAGAGGTTCCGGATAAACAGTCACGGGATACGCCGATCGTTTGCGTAGCAGGGCTGCTGAGTGCCGTGAACGCCATGGCAGCAGCAGTGCGAAGGCAGCGAGAAGTGAACTCAAAAGTAACGGAGAGTGGCACAAGCAAGCAGAAGCTGTGGACAAAAGGTACGGTTTCGATAAGGAAGTTGCACCAAAGACAGTTGGTCGTCCAACCACAGCAATAGGTGGAAGGAAATACTGACGAGTGTCAAGAGTCTTCAGACTGAGATGAGAAATATATACAGTGCAGCACACCTCAGCTGAAGTGAGGCTGTCTGGAATTGTTCATTCAACAACCAACAAACCGCGCCAAACTACAAAGTCCTGGAAGTTTCACGAGAGTGGACTGAGGCCTCGATACTTGCCTGAAATGACGTGGCGTCCGCTTGTAGCTTGCTGACACGTCAACGGCAGGCTATTTTCGGGATCTGTCCAACGGCATTTGGTGCAAGATTATGGGAATAAGCGGAATCCGCTTGCGTGTCACTGACGGTGGCTCGAAAAGTGGTAAAGTGCACGGAGAGTGTCGCGGTTAGCCAGGTCGGTGTTGGTGGTGGTGTGGTGTGGTGTCAGACTGCCCGCGGCATCCTCGACCACGCCAGGAATGGAACGTGTACAATCACGCATAGTCTCTACAACTATTGTAGCACATAAACAATTTTACAGATGAAACAATGAAAGCTGTTCATGCCGACAATTAACACGAGTAAATGCTTGATTTCAAAACGCAATGCAACCGTATTAGCCTGCAAATCATAGTTCACATGAAATGTCCAGTACAAGCTCATGCAGTCCTTGCATAATCTTGCTATATATATCCATCCCCAACTTGCACATTGCACAATCTAAGAGAATATACAGCCTAAAAACCATGCTAATCTAAAAGAATATACAGCCTAAAAAACCATGCTAGACGTACTCTCATGGGTTCGTGGCCAGATCGATGGCCCTTAGCCTGAATGCACCATGCGTTCAGCCCTCATGACATCGGCATCAATCGCTCTGGACCACTCCGGAAGCTCCCGGAACTCCAAAAAATGTGCAACAACCCCCAAAATCCGGGGATCTCTGAAATACGCCCCATGATTCAGGTCGAACTTACCCGTGAGCTCTGAGAATCGGTCCTCAATCATCACACACAGCTGCTTAATCTGCCGAACAAACTGCTGCGGGGTAAGCCGCGGGTTTTTCCACATCTTGTTAATTTCCGGCTCGAGACACTGATAAGTAAGACACTTAGCGGCAGCTGCATCCAACTCCTTATCATCCCATAAATACTCGTAGAGCAACTGCTCCTCCCCACGCGTCTTCCCCTCCACCTCACTCTCTCTTGCCTTCTCCATCCCACCTCCTGACAATTCAACACCAACGTGCTTTCCCCCATAGCCATCAGCTCCGTTCTTACCCCCTCCTCCCCCCTGCCCTTCCCCTTGCGGCTGCGAGTTGTTGTTGTGAGTGTGGTATGGGTCGGAGGAAGACCCTTTGCTTTCGCTGAGTGGCAGCAGAGGAAGATCAGGGGTGTGGCATGTCGCCACAGCAGTTACATCTCTGCCCGTTACATCTCCATGGGTTTCATCTCCGTGAGTTTCATCTCCCCGGGTGTCGCCTCCGAACGTCCTCCCGCTCTTGAATGTAACTCGCCGACGCAGCCGGCTCGCGCTGCGCTGCCATTGGCCAGCAGAGTTGCTCAAGCACGGGTCGAGAGTCGGGCGGTAGCGGCTATCTTTGTCCTTTTCCACCCCTGCCCCAGTACCCTCTGCTACAGCCTCTGTACCTGCTACAGCCTCTGTACCTGCTAAAGCCTCTGTACCTGCTACAGCCTCTGTACCTGCTAAAGCCTCTGTACCTGCTACAGCCTCTGTACCTGCTAAAGCCTCTGTACCTGCTACAACCTCTGTACCTGCTACAGCCTCTGTATCTGCTACAACCTCTGTACCCGCTACAGCCACTGCCCCTGTTGCAGCAGATGCCTGCTGTGGTGCTAGTTGTGCTGCTCCCACACTCTCTGCCTCCTCATGTCCTGCCAACCCCTCCCCACCTACTCCAACCACTCCAGACCCTCCCTGCTGCACCGCTCGCCCGTTCATCCACCCTTCCCCCTCCCCCTCCCCATCCCCTTCAACACCCTTACCCTTTCCTTCACTCTCACCCTTCGTTCTCTCCTTCCCCTCTCCAGGCGCCCCCTTCCCAAGTAACCCCTCCCCAAGTAATCCCTTCGTGAGTAACCCCTCCTCAAATACCGCCTCCCCCATGTCACAGGTGTCATCCTCATACCCCGCCATCAGCTCGCCCTGCAGCGACCGCGTCTTGGCCAGCGCCAGAAGTTTCTGCAATGGGGGGAGGGAGGGGGGAGGGCGGGGGGGGAGAGGGGGGAGGGAGGGTGAAGGGAGGTGCGAGAAGGGTCACTGTTGAGGTGTCATCCTCATATCCCGCCATCAGCTCCCCCTACAGCAACCACGTCTTGGCCAGCGCTAGCAGTTTCTGCAATAGGGGGAGGGAGGGGGGAGGGCGGGGGGAGGGAGAGTTTCTGTGCCAGAAGTTTCTGAGAAGGTGGGGAAGGGAGGTGAGGGGGAGTGGAAAGGAGAGAGGGGAAGGGGAGGAAAGGAAGGTGCATGAAGAGTCAAAGTTGCTGTTTTATGTTCAATCCCCGTCATCAGCCCCCCATGTGGAGACCGGCTCTTGGGGCAGAGCAAGCAGTTTCTGGGCCAGGTCCAGCACCGCGTGTGTGAATGAACACATGAGTAACGCACGCACGCACGCACGCACGCACGCACGCACGCACGCACGCACGCACGCACGCACGCACGCACGCACGCACGCACGCACGCACGCACGCACGCACGCACGCATGCACGCACGCACCCACGCACGCACCCACCCATCCACCTGCACCTCCATTCCCCCACCTGCACCCCCACCCCCTTTCCTCACCTGCACGTTCCAGTGCTCCACGTGTTGGGAGGAGAGCCCCAGGTCGAGAGTCCAGAACCCCCATTCCCCCACCCACCCACCCACCCCACCCAACCGTATCTCACCTGCACGTTCCAGTGCTCCACGTGCTGCGACGAGAGCCCCAGGTCGAGCACCTCATCCATGAAGACATGAGCAAAGCTCAGCTCGTTCTGCGCGAGCCCGAAGCTGATCACCACAATCACGTTCCTCACCGCGCCTATCACCAGCGGCGCCACCACATGAGACATGAGAGAGAGCAGCAGCGCGGGGAGAATGAAGATGATGTTCCAGAGGAGAATGCGGCCGAAGGATGCGAAGTAGAGCAGCCAGTCGAGAGGCATGGCGTCGTGAGGTGGGAACTGGGGGAGGCGCTTCCAGAAGGGCAGCTTCAGCATGTTCGCCAGGTGCGGGAACACATAGGCTCGGGCGATAGGCTCGGAACTCAGTGCCATGCTTGCCTGTTTTGTTGGTTCGCAAAAGGTGGGGGGCCGGAAAGGGGGGGAAAGGGGAAAGAGTAGAACGAGGAAGATTGGGGAAGCGGTTTGATGCGGTACAAATAGCATGGCCTGGGTACAAATAGCGTTAGCTCTCAATCCCAACTTTTGTACTTGTACTTTTTGTATCCTAGTTTAGTGTAGTTTGTAGTTTGTGTGCTTTGGGTGCACACCCATATCTCCAACCCACCAATTAGAGATTTCACCCGATCACATTGGGATTGCCCCGATCTCCCCCCCCCCCCCTACATTCAGTGCTCATTTCCAATGTACTCAAGAGCCTTGAGCTCAACCCATGGGAAGCAGCATCATACTCTCTTCCCTCATCCAGCAATCTCCCCTCGTCGAATCTCACCCCATCCAATCTCACCTCATCCAATCTCACATCATCCAATCTCACCCCATCCAATCTCAACCCATCCAATCCCACCCCATCCAATCTCACCCCATCCAATCTCAACCCATCCAATCCCACCCTATCCAATCTCACCCCATCCAATCTCAACCCATCCAATCCCACCCCATCCAATCTCACCCCATCCAATCTCACCCCATCCAATCTCACCTCATCCAGCTTGCCAGCGTGGACAACCAGTGCTGACATGGCATGTGACCAATCAAAGTCGGGCGAGTGGTAGATGTTTCCGCTGTAGAAGGCAGTGCTGCGGGACACCTGGGGGGGGGAGATGAGGCGTGGTGCAGTGCGGTAATCAGTGGTAGAACTACAGTGATGAGTGGTTGCGGTAACCAGTGGTAGATGTTTCCGCTGTAGAAGGCAGTGCTGCGGGACACCTGGAGGGAAGAGGGGTGCAATGCGGTGATGAGAGGTTGCATCAATAAGAAGAGAATTATAGCTTGGAAAAGCAGGTCAGTTGGGCGAGTGGTAGATGTTTCCGCTGTAGAAGGCAGTGCTACGGGACACCTGGAGGGGGTGGGAGATGATGGAAAGGGCTGGTGCAGTGCGGTAATAAGAGGTAACAAGAGGTTGCTGTAATCAGCAGTAGATGTTTCTGCTGTCGAAGGCTGTGCCGCAGGACACCTGGAGGGGGGAGATGCTGGGAAGGAGAGGTGCAGTGCGGTAATGAGTGGTTGCAGTAACAAGAGGTTGCTGTAATCAGCGGTAGAGGCTGTGCTTCGTGGAACCTGGAGGGGGGGGACGATGGGAAGAGGAGGTGCAGTGCGGTGATGAGTGGTTGCAGTAGTAAGCGGTGTAGTGCAGTCACTGGAATTTCGGTGTGGCAATATTGGGTGCAGTGCAGGGCAGTCACAAGAGGTTGAGTGCGGTGATGAGCGATGCAGTGCATTGCAGTGGGCAGCATACCTCGATGCTGATGCTGATGGTGGCAAAAGTGAGAATGGGAGCCGACCGAGACAACAAACGGCTTGAAGTAGGGTAAATTCGGCTCTGACAGGGTGGTGCAGTGCGGTAATATGAGGTGCGGTGCAACACTGGGCAGTATACCTCGATGCTGATGCTGATGGTTGCACACACGAGAATGAGAGTCGAGGCAATGAACGGCGTGAAATGGGAGAAACACGGTCTGACAGGGTGGTGCAGTGCGGTACTAAGAGGTTGTGGTATGGTTTGGTGCGGTGAGAAGCATACCTCGATGCTGATGCTAATGGTTGCAAACACGAGGATGAGAGCCGAGGCAAGGAATGGCGTGACGTAGGGGAATGCGAGTCTGATGGGGTGGGAAGGGAGCGGGAGAGAGAGGGAGGAGGAAAGGGGCGGAAGGTTAAGAAGATGAGGGCCGAGGCAAGGAATGGCGTGACGTAGGGGAATGCGAGTCTGATGGGGTGGGAATGGAGCGGGAGGAAAGGGAGGAAGGAAGGAAGGACTGTTGAGATGGGATAGGTAAGGGATACCCCGTTTCAAGAGGCTACCTACCTCTGCCATGCTGGTATGACAAGCAGCATGGGATGACATGCAGCATGGGATGACATGCAGCATGGGATGACATGCAGCATGGGATGAGAAGCAGCATGGGATGAGAAGCAGCATCAGCAGTGCACACACCCATTTACTCACACACACCCATTTACTCACACACACCCATTTACTCACACACACCCATTTACTCACACACACCCATTTACTCACACACACCCATTTACTCACACATCCCCATTGACTCACACACCCCCATTTACTCGCACACCCACTCACCACCATGTCGGAGTTACTCCCCTCTCCTTACTCACTCGTCTCTTGCCCTTGCCTCTTCCCTGCCTTCTGTCCTCACCTTCTTCCCTTCCTTCTTATTCTGGCCTTTCCCCACCTCTTGTCAGATTTATATGACATAGCTACTGTAGGCTATAGTGGGGTAGCACATATGGGGTACAGTTTTCTAGGGTTTGCTTTTGTACCCAACTTTCCCTTAGTCAATTCATTCCTCGTTATTTCACATGGTATAGAGCGGGTTCCCTCGTGGGAACGCTTCCTAGGGCCCACCAATCGAATTTTTTTTTTCCTGCCCGGAGCGCGCTTCGCTCCTGCCCGAGTCGCGCCCCGCGTGGCCTCCCTACCGTCGCGCCCTCTCTAGGCCCCTTACGGCCCCTTCGCGTCGCCCTTAGCGGCCCCTCTGACGGCCGCTCGTGCCGCCATTACGGCCCCTCGCGCCGCCCTTCCGGCCCCTCGCGCCGCCCTTACGGCCCCCTACGGCCCGTAGCCGCCCTTCGCGGCCCCTCGCGTCGCCCTTCACGGCCCGTCGCCGCCCTCCGCGGCCACTCGCGGCCCCTTCACGGCCGGTCGCCGCCCTCCGCGGCCACTCGCGGCCCCTTCACGGCCGGTCGCCGCCCTCCGCGGCCCCTCGCGCCGCCCTTCACGGCCCGTCGCCGCCCTCCGCGGCCACTCCCGGCCCCTTCACGGCTGGTCGCCGCCCTCTGCGGCCCCTCGTGCCGCCCTTCACGGCCCGTCCGCCGCCCTTCGCGGCCTCTCTCGGCCCGCCGTCGCCGCCTCTACAGCAGCAGCAGCTGCAGACGCTACAGCGACCGCGGCCGCAGTCCCAGCAGCAGCAGCATCCGCCGCCCCTGCAGCAGCACCCGCCGCCACTGCACCCGCGGCCGCCGCCGTCCCTACAGGAGCGGCCGCCGCCGGCCCTGCAGCAGCAACTGCCGCCGCCGCTGCAGCAGCGGCCGCCGCCGGCCCTGCAGCAGCAACTGCCGCCGCCGCTGCAGCAGCGGCCGCCGCCGTCCTGTGAGCAACAGCCGCCGCTGCCCCTGCAGCAGCCGAGCCGCCCGAGCCACCGAACCGCCCGAGCCGCCCGAGCCGCCCGAGCCACCGAACCGCCCGAGCCGCCGAGCCGCCCGAGCCGTCCGAGCCGCCCGAGCCGCCCGAGCCGCCCGAGTCGCTGAGCTGCCGACCTGCTGGTGCTGCCGAGCCGCCGAGCCGCCGAGCCGTCCGAGCCGCCCTGTCCTCTACACTCGGTCCGTCTCGCCTGCCCGGTAAGAGCAGCACCTCTACTACTGCGCTGCCCTTAGCCTACTGCTCGTGCTGCTAGTCTACTGCTGTCATGGCTACCCCCAGTGTCCTCGCTTTTGACGCTGAGGGTCGGGCCATTGACTTTGACGTCTGGGTAGATGACCTGCAGCTTTTCCTACAGTGCGATAGGGCAGACGGTCTCTCCCTCTTTGATCTCACTTCTGGTGCCTCCCCTGCCCCCGCTGCTGATGCTGACGCCACTGTTCGCTCACAGTGGGCCACACGCGATGCTGCTGCACGTCTTGCTGTGCGTCGCCACTTGCCTACCTCTGAGCGTGCGCACTTTAGCCAGTACAAGAGTGCTCACACCTTGTACGACGCTGTAGTTGCGCGCTACTCCTCCCCTGCCACTGCTGCACTGAGCCGCCTCATGCTACCGTACCTCTTCCCTGACCTTGCTGCCTTTCCCACAGTCGCTGACCTCATTACGCACCTCCGCACTAGTGACACTCGCTACCGCGCTGCGCTTCCTGCTGAGTTCTGCGCCAAGAACCCCCCCCCATGTACATCACCCTCTACTACATAGTCACCCGGCTCCCTGACTCCCTTCGCGTAGTCAGGGACCACTTCCTCTCAGTTTGCCCCACCACTCTCACCGTTGACCTCCTCGAGACGGCCCTCCTAGCAGCAGAGAAGAGCATAGTCGCTGTAGGAGCCTCTCGTGGTGAACCTCGCACCCCCGTCTTTGAGGGGTGTTCCCCCTCCCCCCTTTTGCCCTCTGTTGCCTCTGCTGCTGCGGCCGACCTCTGGAGGGGCTGGCGGGGGTGGCGGAGGTGGCGGTGGCGGCAGTGGAGGGGGTGGGGGTGGTGGTGGGAGTGGTGGCGGGGGTGGAGGTGTCGGTGGCGGCAGTGGAGGCGGAGGCGGCGGCGGCGGTGGCGGTGGGAGCGGAGGTGGCGGAGGTGGCGGCGGTGGAGGAGGCGGCGGCGGAGGAGGTGGAGCTGGTCGGGGTGGCGCTGCACAGAGGGTCGGCTCCGGTGGTGGTCAGCGCCAGCAGCAGCAGCAGCAGCAGCGGCAGCAGCGCACTCGTGACATCCCCCCCCCTCAGCAGCTCCGTGAGTGGTACGCTGCACGCCAGCGGGGTGGGGGTACTGGTCCGTGCACCTACGTCCTACGCACCGGCGACCGCGCGGGTGAGCAGTGCGGGGGTGCGCACTCCACCCAGCGCTGCTTTGGCCGCCTGACGGACGCTTGGTGTCACCAGTTCCCTGAGGCCACTGAGATCCCTCGCTGGGGCGAGCTGTCTAGGGCGGGTGTAGCTGTCTTTGACCTTGACTTTGATGCTATTCTTGCTGCCATGTATGCTGTGACTATTAGTGATGAGGGTGACTGTTACCGGTGTTTTCCGCCCGACCCGGGCATTGAGACTGCTGCTCTAGGTACTGGTGAGGCTGCTGCTCTAGGTGCTAGCGAGGCTGCTGCTCTAGGTGCTCGTGCGTCTGCTCCCTCAGGTGCTGGTGAGTCTGCTCTCTCAGGTACTGCGTCGGCTTCGGCCTCCCACACCTTCACCCTTGACTCGGGGGCTTCTCGCTCCTTCTTTCGAGACCGCACCACACTCACGCCGCTTGGCCGGCCAGTTGCAGTCTCTCTGGCAGACCCCTCTGGAGGTCCTGTCCTTGCTCACTTCTCCACTGCCCTCCCGTGTCCGGCGGCCCTTTCTGGCACTCTGTCTGGTCTTTACCTCCCCTCGTTCTCTACGAACTTGGTGAGTGGTGCTGACCTACAGGATGCGGGGGTTCACTAGTTCACTCCTGCGAGTCAGCGGGTGACCCACTGCACGGACGCTCGGACAGGCCGACACCTGGCCACGTTTACACGTCGGCCGGGGTCGAGCCTGTACACACTGACCACTGCGTCTCCTCCAGTCACTGCGGCTGGTCAGGTAGCTGCGTCGGGTCAGGTGTTTGCTGCAGCGTCCGGGTCTGGTCCTGAGTCTGCCCCCTGTTCGTGTCGCCTTCTGTCTCACGAGACTCTCCTCTGGCACCACCGCCTTGGTCACCCCTCCCTGCTTCGTCTCCGAGGCATGGCCTCCCGTGTCCTTGTCTCTGGTCTTCCCCGGTCCCTCCCTCCCCTTCCTCCGGGGCCTGGCCCTACCTGCGTCCCCTGTGTCGAGGGGCGGCAGCGGGCTGCCCCTCACTCCTCCCAGTTTCCTCCGACAGAGGCCCCGCTGCAGACGCTTCACATGGACGTGTGGGGCCCGGCCCGCGTCCGTGGACAGGGTCACGAGCGTTACTTCCTGCTGGTGGTTGACGACTACTCGCGTTACACCACAGTCTTCCCCTTGCGCAGCAAGGCTGATGTCACTGAGGTGTTGATCGACTGGATCCGCGCAGCTCGTCTCCAGCTCAGGCAGAGCTTCGGCTCGGACTTTCCTGTTCTGCGTCTGCACTCTGACAGAGGTGGAGAGTTCTCCTCTGGCCTTCTGCGAGCCTACTGTCGTGCACGAGGCATCCGCCAGACCTTCACGCTTCCGGACTCTCCACAGCAAAATGGGATTGCTGAGCGCCGCATTGGCATGGTCATGGACGTCGCCCGTACGTCCATGATGAATGCTGCTGCCCCCCATTTTCTGTGGCCGTTTGCGGTTCGGTACGCGGCGCATCAGCTCAACCTTCACCCCAGGGTCTCCATGCCGGAGACCTCCCCAGCTTTGCTGTGGACGGGGAAGGTTGGCGATGCGTCTGCGTTCCGTGTCTGGGGATCTCGGGCGTTTGTCCGCGACTTGTCTGCGGACAAGCTGTCCTCTCGTGCTGCTCCTTGCGTCTTCCTTGGCTTCCCCCCTGACGCGCCAGGGTGGCAGTTCTACCACCCCACCTCTCGCCGTGTTCTGTCCTCCCAGGACGTCACGTTTGACGAGTCGGTCCCCTACTACCGCCTCTTCCCCTACCGCACTCCGTCCCTCCCCCCGCCACCGCTCTTCCTTATGCCACGTCCCCCCCCGGTAGACCCCCTCCCCCCTCAGGGTCCTGCCCCTTCAGGTGTGTCCCAGGTAGACGCAGTCGAGCCTGTCGAGGTTACTGGTGACTCTGGTGCTGCTGAGGGTGCTGAGCCTGGGGGTGCTGACTCTGGGGGTGCTGAGCGTGTGGGTGCTACGCCTGGGGGTGCTGAGCCTGAGGGTGCTACTACTGGGGGTCCTGTGCCTGGGGGTGCTGAGCCTGGGGATGCTACTACTGGGGGTGCTGAGCCTGGGGGTGCTGAGCCTGG